TTGGTATTACTTCGTTTCCGGTTACGTATTGCTGTGGGTTTGGGAATGACAAGCAACAAATTCTCACCCACAAAGGGGCTAAGTCGTCATCTGCTGTAAACCTATGCCTCTTTATAGGTTCTTTAATATTGGAAGAGGTGGAATTCACATATTTTGGGCCATATTTATTTAATTAAAAACTAATCCCAGCTACTTAAATATCAAATTACCTAATAAAACTAAAATTAATAATTCAAAACAGTTCAAACATAACCTAAAATAAAATCTCGCCGGCCGGCCCGGTTGTCAAATACCCGCATACGCCCATTTAAGCAATTTTGACGTTATTTTGAAATAGCGCTTGGTGTAATTGATCCGCAAATTACGTCGGGCGGTAACGTTATTAGCAGGTGTTGCGTTAAAAATTGACTCGCGCATATTGTAACCATGATAAGTTACGCGAAAATACTGCAGGACGCTATTCGGTTTTCCGATATCGCTCTAATAACTGTGCCGGTCAGGCGCTGTGCACAATTTTAGAGGCCATAAGTGGGCGTGCTATGTGCGCAAACTAGTAACCTAACTAGTGCCCGATTCCGAAAATTGGAACCACGAAAAACAGTAAAGAAAAAACAAAGTTTATAATTTATATAATCTGTAATGGTACTCACGAGGAATTAAAAGAGGCCTAGAAGAAGACCAAACCTATGACCTATGATATTAGGAAATTAGCAGGGATAAGTTGGACCCAATTACACCTATAGTGATGTTAATATTTCGGAAATTTATGAACTTTTAGGAAATTTTACAATTTTACATATTTTTTGTTTTGATACAATGAATAAATTAGATAGACATTTGATACCAACATGTAAGTGGAAAAAAAAACAATAAACATAATATTAGTTGTTATATTTTTAATAAAACAATACATAACTCCTAAAAGTCATAAACATAACATATAACAAAAAATTATTTGGCAGATTTGTAATTTTGTACATAAACCATGAACTATGACTATGAACTTAAAAAAAACAAAAAAGCACGAAATATAAATTTAAAAAACGTAAAGCACAAATAACTGAATTATTCTATTCCGGAATACTTTACTATACAGGCGCCGAGCTGGTCCCATCTTCATAGGGTATTATAGTAGTAGTAGTAGTAGTAGTAGTAGTACTGTCTTCGTCAGTTTTTATTTCCAAATCAGGTATATTTCGTCCCATTGCTGCCAAAAGTCACTAACTTACTTTTTATTACTTCCGAGAAAAATGCGCCTAAAGATGAATTGCATTGCATAAAGATGTTATAGTTAGTAACTATTAGGTATTAAAATAAAACATAAATAGCCAGAAATCGTATTAATGACATTTGCAATCGATTCTCCGATTCAAAACATAGTTAGTGATTGAATTTGGTTGTTCGGAAAAATGTTAGTTAGCGACTTTTGGCAGCAATAGGGCGATTTGATGTATCATCTGGTTCTGATTCTGAAGGATGGACCTCTACCTCTACGGGTTCTGGTGGTTCTGGAGGAGTTTCATGTTGTAGCATATCATGTTCCAGATCCACTTTTTGTTTTTGTAGTAATAATTTATTGTTATGAGCTACGAACATTATTTTGCCGGCTCTTTGTGCAGTTAAGCGATTTCTTTTTTAGTACGGATAAAACTGTAAGTATACTGAAATTTCTCTCAGTGGCTGCAGATGACGTTGGTAAAGACAGCAGAGCAACAGCTAAATATTTCAACTGAGTATTTTTACATATTGTTTGCCACCAACTTAGACAGTCTACATTTTTAACTGACATCCAAACGTAGTCGAGAGCCCATATACCCGATTTGGCGCAATAATTTGTTACATCTGTAAAAATGGCTTCTTTATTATTGACAAACTGAGGATGTTTGTTGGTGATATTGTTGATAAATTCCATAGCGGCTATGTGTTCTTCATTGTTAAGATGCTCTCCCAGGAAACAGAGGGATCCAAGAGATTCGCGGCAAAATGCATTATTTTAAGAGCCATACGTTTTCTATTTTGTAAGGCGGAGAAGCATTCTTTTTCTTCTGATTTAAGAATAGGCATACTTGATACACTTTCGTTAAATTTTTGCTCAATGTCTTGAATTTTGAAAAGAAATTTCTTGCAAAATTTGTATTTTTGCGAATATTCGCGATTTTGGGACCGAATATTTCGGAAATTTCCTGCAAAATTCGAATGAAAATATTCGCTACCAACATCACGAATTACACCATAATTGGAAATGGTTGAATGTGTTGTAAATGATGATATACATATATATTTTGTTATAGCTGAATGTAATAAACTGTAGTGTAAATTTGAAGTTGTCTATATTTGGCTTTGTTGGGCTACTTAAATGGTATTAAAACTATTTTGTCTTACACAAATATTGCTTTGCTATAACGATACAAAATATGGAATAAAGACGTATACCGGGTGGTGCCTCGTCGTTGCAGTAAAGGTTTATGTATGGTAAATACACATGCCAAATTTGAAAAATTTTGGACCAGCCGATTTTGAGTAATTTAACAAAGATTGCATCTATTTTTATATTAAAACCGAACAGGTAACAATCAAACACCAGTCAAAAACTGACATACCTTAGGTTTACAAGTTCTGATTTTGTCATTGTCAATTTACTGGAAATTAACCGAAACATGTGAGACACATTGTCTAAATTATTTCTTTTTCTATTTATTCCTCTTGTGGTTACTTTTCCATATATTATATCCTCATCTCTGTCCTTATGTGAAATCAGAGGCAATGAACATGAAAATTATTTACCATAAACATCGCAAACTAAAAACCTAATAAAAAATTTTATAGGTACCGAATATAGAAATAAATTTAGTATTCTTACCTATTTTGGTCCAAAATCCAAATCCATGTTAATAGATAATTATTATTTTAAATATATTTTTTGGAACTTCTGGTTTTAGTAATTATTAAATTAAACGAACTAAAAAGTCTTAAAAATAAACAATTCTTAACCATAACCCCAAAAAATGCAGATCTCCTGTCAACTTTCTTTATTTTTTATTTATTCCTCATTTTCCTAGTGACGTCACAGGTGGTATGCGCGAACTGAACGAAATTGGAGCCGCTATCGATCATACCTTGTATTCTTTGTACCATGGGTTGTATCTCTGCTGTAAAAAATGTCAAGTTGCCACATTCATTTATTTATTTCCTGACATTGTCATTCGTTTTGACACTTCAGTTTTGTATGACGAGTTTTTGGTTTAAATGAATTTTGTTGTGAAGCTTAAAAATGGTTACTAGCAGACCTTGCAGTCGAACATTGTTCTTTTTAGAACCTCTTTTAGTGCCACGTGTACAAGGTAGCTTAACATCCATTGTAAAAAATTCATCGCAACCGTATTAGAATATTTTGAACGGGAAAGCGGTAGTAATGGTCCTTTATGTCCCTCAAGCACTGTTAAGAAGGTGAGTTTTGTTGATGTAAATTATAACTGTTTATATATTTATAATTAATTTATTTTTATTCCCTAAAATATTTTGATTAAAAGAAAATATGTAAAACGAGGGGCAACGCTGTGCCGGTCAAGCTTAATCACATCACCAAATGTTTATTGAATACGAACTATACAGGGTGTGTCTTAAATAAGTGCAAATATTTTCAGATCTCGATAGAAGAAATATTATTTTCTCCTAACCGTTTTTCAAATAAGTTCAAAATAACCCAGTTATTTTAGCAAAATAAAATTACACCAAAAAACTTTTACCACAATACACCAAAAAACTTTTACTTTTACACTGGACGCGCGTTTCGCTAACCATGTTAGCATCATCAGCAGATGATTATAAACTAAAGTACAATCTGCAAGTTGAGCGTTTATATACTCGCCCAGTTGGTACCGAGTGGGCGTGGCAAAATCTAGCCAACCGAGTCAGAGCCAACTGAGCGTAACAGTTAATTTCCGCCACTAAAGTAGTAGGAACAAAGAACTTGAAGGAATTGGACCGTTGACTCTGTTCATACTATCTTTACATTTATTAATTCTGATGCTTTCATATGCATCTAATTGCCTGTAATTTGAGACTTGTTTAATTAATTTTAAATTATTAAGATCTATACAATGTTCTTTATCAACAATATGTTCGGCAACGCAAGATTTATCCGGTCTACCATATCTTATCTGAGCTAAATGTTCTTTAAAAGTTACTTTAAATCTAGTTAATATTGATCTTCTAGTTTGCCCAACATATTTCTGATTACAAACTTTACTAGAAATTTCATAAATACCCGACCTTTCCAGTGGAGGTGTTTTATCCTTTGGATTACCTAATAATTGTTGTAATTTATTATTAGCACTATACACAAGTTTATAATTGACATTCTTAAAAATTCCTTTTAGACCACGGGATAACTCTCTATCAAACGGTATTGAAAAATATTTAGATGTATCTTTCTCCACTTGAAAAGTCGAATTTTCAGAAATCATTAACCTATACCTACGTTTTCTAATTAATTCATCATCAGTCGGGTATTTATGAAATTTCTTGTAAAGATTGTAATCAGAAATATGTTGGGCAAACTAGAATATCAATATTAACTAGATTTAAAGAACATTTAGCTCAGATAAGATATGGTAGACCGGATAAATCTTGCGTTGCCGAACATATTGTTGACAAAGAACATTGTATAGATCTTAATAATTTAAAATTAATTAAACAAGTCTCAAATTACAGGCAATTAGATGCATAAAGCATCAGAATTAATAAATGTAAAGATAGTATGAACAGAGTCAACGGTCCAATTCCTTCAAGTTCTTTGTTCCTACTACTCTAGTGGCGGAAATTAACTGTTACGCTCAGTTGGCTCTGACTCGGTTGGCGATTTTGCCACGCCCACTCGGTACCTACTGGGCGAGTATATAAACGCTCAACTTGTAGATTGTACTTTAGTTTATAATCATCTGCTGATGATGCTAACATGGTTAGCGACACGCGCGTCCAGTGTAAAAGTAAAAGTGTTTTGGTGTATTGTGGTGATTTAGTGTAATTTTATTTTGCTGTATAACACCAAAGGTTCCAACCCTCAACTGTAGACCAGTTATTTTACTTTGAAAATTTCCAAAAAAATGTTTTTTTTTTGGTTTAAATTTTGAGAACCACTAGATCTTTTCTTTGTTTTCTTTCTTGTAGATTTAATCTACTACCTATATGTTGTCATATTATCAAGAAATTATGGTTTTTAACTAAAAAAAAATATTCAAAATTTTCTGTTGAGGGGGTCGAAACACGCTACCCATAAAAATATTTGCACTTATTTAAGACTCGCCCTGTATATAGTTAATGCAACAACCTTAATGAATGTTTCCATGACCGCTATATAAAAATATATACTTACTAAGGATGCAACGTTTAAATTACTCTATACAGAACCGGTATTCAGTTCAATGCTATCGATTTATAAATAAACTTAATCATTGGCGAATGCTTTGTGTATTTTAAATTAACGCTAACAAACCAGTAGTCGTATATACAGTTCATTATGTAGGCTATAACAGATTTATAGTGTCGGTATTAAAAATAGATTAAAATTGTGTAAAATAATCATACAACTGGTTATACTATTAATATGTTGGTTCACCCTATATAGTAGAAAAAAAAACTCTCTAATTTCTTTAATATTTCACACATTGATCATGCTATGTAACAAAAAAAATCATTAATGGAAATTATGGAGACTGTTTGCACACAAATGAACAAAATGCAAGGCTTCCTCTTTCCATTCCGTACCTATAATATCCGATTGTCTTGGCGTATGAAATTGATTTTTCCATTATTTCCTTTTTTGAAGAGAACAGTAAATCGTAAAAATGAATGGGTACTAAAAGAAACGGTATACTACCACTAATTTATACAATGTCTGTCATAAACCCGTTTAACGTTGATTATATACATAATACAAACTTTCCTCTACATCTTTTTTTATTCACGCATTTCCTTTTTTGTGTCTACAGGGTCCGGCAATAGTGCGTCGGGCATCTGTATCTCCTAGAATAAAAAACTTGGGAATTTTGTTTAAGTGCCGATCTAAAGTATGTTCTTGGATGAATTTCAAGAAAATATCTTAACTTCTATAGGCGCTGGCTCAAAAAAGTGTGAGTGGATCGGGAAGATTTTTTTAATGGAATACCCTGTATATTATCCTTTCAATAGATGGAGAATTAAAAAATGAATATTTTTTGTATTTAGATTATTTCGAGTATTTTTGCACTTTATATTTGCATTAAAGATGTCCAAGCCAATGTTCTAATAGATGATACACCTATGGAGAGAGTACAAAAATATAAATATCTAGGCAGTTGGTTGACCGAAAACTTGGATCAATCAGCAGAAATATAAGCTCGAATAGAAATAGCCAGAGCATCCTTTGTCCTTAAAACTCAAAAAATATCTCTGCAGTGGAGACATCAACTTAAAGCTTAGATTAAGAATACTAAGGGATTACATATCTGCAACTCTACTCTATGGTTCAGAGGCTGGGACACTTAAAAAGGCCGAAATGAAGAAGCTTGACGCATTCGAAAGATGGTGTTATCGGCGTATACTGAGGATTATATGGACTGACAAGGTTACAAATGTAGAACTGCGACGCCCTTAAAAAGAGAAAACTTGAGTACTTTGGACACATAATGAGAGGGCCTAAATATGCGCTGCTGCAGAACATAATAGAAGGAAAGATAAAGGGCAGAAGGAGCCAAGGAAGAAGAAGAACATCATGGCTCAAGAATTTGAGAGGATGGTTTGGAATGACTTCAAACCAGTTATTCAGAGCAGCCGTTAACAAAGTTAGAATTGCCATGATGATTTCCAATCTCCATTAGGAGATGGAACCCGAAGAAGAAGAAGAAGAAGAGTATTTCAAAATTTTTAACGGTTTCGCAGATATTCGCGGTTTTAAATTTTGATTTTTCTCTCGTATTTTACCGTTAGAGCCATATGAAATAATACTGCGTATATCTGCGAAACCATTAAAAATTTTGAAATACATACTTTAAATACAAAAAATGTTAAATTTTTAATTCTCCATCTAATAAACAATAATATATAGGGTGTTCCATTAAAAAAGACAAAGAAACATTATTTTATATTTTAGAAAGTTTGGCGTAGAATTTTGAACATCCTGTATGATCTAAGGTGACGATATTTATAGCAAAGTTAAGTATAGACCGTCTATAGTAAATACCTAATATAGTTTTGATTTCAGAACAGTTCTTGTATTTGTAATAATATTTTTGATGAAGGTTTTTAGAAAAAATCCTATGTAGGTATTTTACCACTGCTAGAAAATCTGCAAAATAACTATTTTATTTTGTAGATTTTCTTGGATATGAATCCGCCACACAGGTATATACATTTTTTACATACTTTAGGTTTACGTTTAAAAAAATTCCCAAGATTTTTATTCTAGGAGCTACAGATGCCCGACGCACTATTGCCGGACCCTGTATATGGATATAAAAACTGTTCGATTGTTTAAAATATAAAGATTTTGCCCGGATTTCAGAGTTTACTTGTCCAAAATCATAGATAAAAGAAAATAACCATCTATTAACATCCAAAATTTCCAAAAACTTGTTTGGGAATCTTATATTTTATTTATTTAATTTTTCTCGCAGATACTAATCAACTTCTTACTAACAAGCGATCGTTAATATAAATTAAATATAGGTTATTTTCTATTAAAATATTTTTTAGAATGTTAATCAAGCGTAATATCATCAAATTTAGAAATATTCGAACTCATTAAATCTTGTGATTGTCGAATTTGGTGGTCTGCGATACTTATCATTCTAATCATCTGGTATACAGGATGATTTTTTTTGGTATTAAAAACTCCGCCTTTCTTATTCCAGATCAATAAATAGAAATAGGATACTTAAGAGATTACTTTTACTGCATTTACGTTTGTAAATGTCAGCAAGCTTATAAACAGTAAACATAAATAATTTTATTATGTACCGTTATAGAATAATTGCTACTTTACGGTGTTTTTTAAGCTGAGTGTTATGGTTATCGGAAATTAGTTTGCAGTTATATGCATACATGTAGTATACGTGTTTATTATAACGATACTACACTAATCTAGAGATTTCTGTGTTCTGGGCCTATGTAAAATGGCCACAATGTCATTAATTATTGTTTGACCATTTTATTTGCATTCATACGTATTAGCAAATAATTTGAAAAAAGTATACGATTAAGTATGGCAACAATGCGTGAGATTTTTTAAGGCAATACATACATTATTAAGCTAATTTATATATTAATTACTTTTTTTTCAATAACTATGTCAATTGTACAATTGTCTAGAAATTTAATTGTATTCATTCTCAGCGCTTCTGAGAACACATGACAACAATATATTGCGTGATGCGAAATAACGTGCCATGATTCTAGTGCCTTTATATTTT